CTTACAGACAGCCACAGACAGCCACAGATTTCTTTTAACATAATACCTTGATTATAATCGTATCGCAAGAGTTTCAAGAAAACTCCGCCTGTAGAGTCCTGGGTCTTTCAATATCAAAATACAATTTATTAGTGGGGATGAAGTTCAACACCTTTACCATGCTATATATCAAGCTATACTCTATGGTGCGGTGAATTATGGAAAATGGCGCTTGTATAAGTGGAACTTATGATATGTCATGTATCGAAGCTGTGCAAAACAGAGCGATGATGTTATTTCTCTGGCTACAAATGTATGCACCCAGTAAAGCGATACATGGTGATAAGGGTTGGATTCCATCAGTGGTTCGACAATGGGCCAGTGTGACTGGGTTGTATATGGGACTCCGTGATATGGACCCTAGACGACTGCCTCATTCATTTGGAGTCAATCCAGCTAGGGCCCATGCAGGTAGCAAAAGTAATGTAAGTCCCCATGGATCCTAGTATGGTGATCCACCTTCAGTTGTTGGCGATCTATTGCCCGTGTTTTATACTGTATTGTCTTCTTTAATTGGTATGTTTTAGCTTTGCTCGCTAGTTTTATATTCATATCTGTGATTTTACAGTATTTTTACTGTCCATCGTCGACAGGTTTTAATCTTCAAAATGCTTTCACTTTAAATTGTATAAATGTTTCGTCACGATATGGCTGAGATATTGCCGATATGACGTTAAATATTAACTCACTCACTCACTCATTTGGAGTCACCACTGGGCATATCGTCGTAAGCAAAACCAGGTTTTTAGATTCCACCACATGTTTGATTTTATTTGAACCAGTCATTTCAAAGAACTAAATCTTGCTTATGTCAGGAAGTTCGTAGTATCCCGTACACAAGGAAAACTGATTGAAGATTTTATGACCACTTAAATTAAATTAAACATAGAAAAACAACAGGATCAACCAACAGGAAGACATGGTGGCCACGGCAATAATCCAAGACCGTAGGCCATACAAGAAAGGTGTTGTGGTTCCGATTACACTTCATTAAAATTTAGGAATTTTTTTTTTTTATATATTGTTTTTTCGAAATAAAGTGCAAACTAATAACGCATTTATAAATGTGTAATTGTTTATTCAACCAAGATTGCAACCATCATATCGACTTTCCCTGTCAGAATGACCGATATTTGTTGGTGCCGGGAAAAAACAATGGTATCTGAAAGCTTATTTTATTCATTCCGCCTAAAAAAATAGGGTCGGCACCAGAATTCAAGTGTCGGTCGGGTAGTTTAGGCCTTACTGTACTTTTAAAATGAAATATTTAACAAAACGTTACGTTAACAGTCGTCTTAGTCGAACAACGTAGTCATGCAACATACTAAAGTCGGGCAATGAACGACAGTTGGCATCTAACTTGTCTGGGAACATCTATAACACCTTCCGCTTGTGTATTGAATAGCTGATAGTGTTTATATGCAACTTTAAAAAATCCCTCTCTTAGGTACGACTTATGCAGAGACCAGATGATATTGGCTACATGCATTGTGTTGTCTATAATAGCATTGGGAATGACCAACAATCCATATCATATGCATATAACCATTCACACAGGTTCATAAATACAATGTATATTGGACCCGTTGGGTCAGAATTGTTCTTAAGCCACCCATGTTTTCGTAAGAGCGAACTAATGTGACCAAGTGGTCGTTCTCACTTCCTTACCTGATGCATGCCATCGTATCCCACTTGCAAAGATCGATGCTCATAGTGTCATGGCCATGCTGTGTATACGTATTTTGTGTATATCATTAGATATTACAAAACTTAGTCCTATTTTTATGAACGTTACAGTACAAGCCAAATGCTCATACACATGTTATCTGGAAATACACTCAACGCCAATAGAAACGTTACCCTCCTTCCTTAATGACGGAGGTACCTATCTTCAGCATTTGAGCTTTAACGCCATATTTTGATGTTTAGTACAAAGGCATTTGTTTCTTGATAAAAGGGACGTCACCTCGATGTGTCTGGGCGCATTTTGCAAAGTGCAGAAAATGAAATACTTGTTTCTGGGTTTTCTGCTCGGAATCTTCCATGAATGGTACTCAGATAGTCGTTCAGGATTCTAGTTTGTTTTCTTTCGCCATTGCATTTCTTGAAATCTCTTTTGCCAGGCATAGCTCTGCTGATATCATCTTTCTCTTGGAATTCTGTCACTTTTGCTTCAAGATCCAATTTCAATTTTGAGAGTCGTTTTCTCTGTGTAACATTAAGTGTTTTTCTGTTTCCTGATGCATGGAATTCATGTCTTGTTATACCAGTCACTTTTGTGAGATATCTAATGCATCTGTACTTCTTCACAATGCGACCACTCACTACAGTGTTTATTGACGATCGATGTCTCTGCTTAGTGTTTTTATCATGAGCATTTTTTATTTCGGAAATGAGGGCATTACCAATCTTCAGTTGTCGCACAACAGACCTAGGTACAGATCTTGGACTTATTCCAGACAACCTGATATCATTTATAGCTTTGGACTTCGGAGTGAGTTCTAGTGCGCTTTTGGAAGCAGCCTCTATTTTCCTTGTGTTTTTCAATCGTTCAAATCATTTTAGAAAGCGCCATGATTTTTGTTGATTCTTTGTCAACAGTGATTTCAATCTCAACACTTCGTGCCTTGACTTTGCCAATGCTTTAGATCTGTGTGTAGATGTCTTACGCTTGGTAGGAAAGGGAAGTTGAACCAGCAATTGGTTCTTCTGTGATCTTGTCTGTGAACTTGTTGATGGTTGCTGATCGGATGAACTTGAAACTTCATCTAACTGAGTTGCACTTGAATTCAAAGTATCATTCGAGGTCGATGCTTCAAGAACTTCAACTTGTACTGGATGTCTTTCATTGCGTTTCTTGCATTGCTTTTTTTGTCTGTACTGTACTTTGAAGAGTATTCTTTGTCAACTTTGATCTTGACAACATTGCGACAGGAACTCTATATTTGACTTGCCTTATTCTCTCTTTTTCTAAAATGCCAGCATCATTTAGCTTTTTTCTTTCTCCGTAGGCACGCTGAATTTCAGCACGTGTCTTGCTCATTGTGGCCCTGGAATATAATACTACAATAAGTATTAAATGGTCTATTTAGTTTTGGCTGATTGATAGATTCGTTTCAATACCCGTAATAGCTATAAATGTCAACCTCGAACAAAGCTGCACTTGAACAACACGAGAAGTAATGGTTACATGCAAAGATAATTGTTTGACATGCTGCGCAGGTTGTTCTACATCTTTGACTGCAGCAGTACCAAAACGTGGACGACTAATTAAAAACCAAAAATGGAAGAATTGCTCGCTTCGTGCGAGAATGCTGTTAAAAAAACCGTTTATATGTGGTATAAATGTTTTAATGTCTTTACTGACATTTGTTCACTACACGAGCTATTCTTGTTCCGCTCTTTTATATATCCATCCATAGCATCCACTGAAAAACAATGTATCTAGTACGTGGTACAAAACAGTTGGTAATCTGGCCTATCACCCATTTCGGATAAATCTAGTAATTTATACTGGAATACATGGATCCATTTGTTTTGAAAAAATGTCAAAAATGAAATTTAATTAACACAGAATTAACTTCATTCTGGAAGCTAACAAGCGTCATCAGGGTGAACAAGACTCAAACTGGTCGAAGGAGACTCATGTATTTTAAAATTCAAAGATTGCGATTTTGAAACTTAAAATTAAATTATATATTTCATCAGATCTCGTATGAAAGGTTTCCATGCTTTGGGAAACATAGTAACTGTCAGACTGCATTCATATATACGTACGTATTTATCACATGTAGGTAATGATAATCTCGCACGAGTATCCCTGCGAATAAGCAACATCCAACAAAAGTAATAGCAAATTCTGGTCAACCTTTTTCATCAGAACATTTCTCATCATTGAGTGAGTATGGTTTTACCCACTTTTCGCAAGATCCCGGTAATAATTAAGACGGTGGGGGACACCAGAAATGAGATTCACACATTTTACCCATGTGGGGAATCGAACCCCGGTCTTCGCTGTGAGGAGCGAGCGCTTTAACTACTAGGCTACCCCACATGTGCCCTCTCATCATGGAACGTTTATTTGTATCCGTACAGTATAGCCATTGAACACTGACTGCCTTTAAAAGTCGCGTAACTGTAGTTCATTGGACATCATCGTGTTTCACCGTATTTCATTGAACGTCACTGTGTTTGTAAGTACCCGTGAAGATCCGGGTTAGAATTGGTCTTCAGTAACCCATACTTGTCGTAAGAGGCGACTAACGGGATCGGGTGGTCAGGCTCGCTGACTTGGTTGACACATGTCATCGGTTCCCAATTACGTAGATCGATGCTGCTGTTTATCACTGGATTGTCTGGTCCAGACTGAATTATTGACATACCGCCGCCATATAGCTGGAATATTGCTGAGTGCGGCGTAAAACTAAACTCACTCAGTCAATCTGAAGCTATCACGCCTATAACTTTATTGCCGTACAGGTCTTTTTCCTTTTTGGTTGTTTGTTTGTTTCAACACCGCTGTATGACGACAGACTGTAAATAATCGCGTCTGGACCAGACAATCAACAGCATGAACATCGATCTACTCAACTGGGTGTGTAAGTATGCACATGAATGTGTGTGTAAACGTTGTGCGTCGAGAAGCGAAAACTAAATCTGAGTTAAAACATTGATTAGTTGTCAGAGATGTATGTTGCAATAACATAGGAAGATTAATGGCTCCACCTGACGTGAGCGCTGCAGCCTGATGCAGTTGTATGTTGCACTAATCTGTCATCATCAGATGATGGATCACCAGATGGTGGACTCAAATACGTTCAGATCCTCTGGTGACATGTTTGGTAAGTGACTCAGTCCAAGCGTCCCTCTGTCAACCCAGCAGAAAATCGGTATCCTATATACGAGAGGGATGTAATATGTTTGTAGAATCCGTTGGCAGGTTTGGTTGCTTATTCCTTAAGGAGTTGAGAGTAATAATTTGAATAAATACGGTCGGGAAACAAATATACGGCGTTTGAGCAGATGCTAGTTTGTGGATAAGTGCGGTACGTAAACATAGTTAAATATTAGTTTAAAGGCAAAGCGGTTGGTTGTGTTGGAGCAATACAGACGCATTCAGTTCTCGGACAGAGGTAGGTTTAAGTGTCTATTTATACTTTGAATAAAACACAGCGTTTCTCAACAGCTCAAGATTAAGTGTGCATATGTTATACAATCTTGATTCTTGGATTAACTACAAATTGAGCTGAAGTTACGCTGCTTTTAATTTTTAATATCTTACATTTAACGTTTGGGATAGTGATGTTGTAGGGACGAGTACTGATGCATTTACAACTTTGGATCTTTGTCAGCACAAACTAAATAACATATTTCTGCTATATATGATTTGTACCGATCTGTCCATCTTCTAAAGGGTTTTAAATTAATATTTAATTACTTGATGGCGGAGTGGTTTACAAATCCGTTACTCAAAACATAAAACAGCACGTATCACTTTCCAGCAAGTCACGATGAAGGTAAACTTCGGACAACGGGTGATACTGATTCTGGTTGTTTGCGCTTCATTATGGCTTGTGGCATGGCACGGCAGTAGAATGACCATTTATGGCATCAAGAAGAACATGTCTTCACATGGTTACCTATCTGAATCCAAGAGAAGTAGACAATGAGTCAGAGAAGCATGGAATGCGGTGTGTTGGAGGAGGGGCACACATGGCAGAGGATCTATTCTGTATGGTATGTAAAGGTTAGCTTCTTATATTTGGAAAGTGAGTGAGTGAGTGAGTGTAGTTTTATGCGCCTTTTGCAAAATTCCAGCAATATCACGGCGGGGACACTAGAAATGGGCTTCACACATTGTACCATGCGATATCGAATGCAGATTTCAGGAATTCGAAATGAAATTCTCGCAACCTAAGGTATAGATTTACTTTCCAAAAGGAGCTTTGGGGTAGCCCAGTAGTTAAAGCCTTTGTTCGTCACACCGATGACCCGGGTTCGTTTCCCCACATGGGTATCAATGACTAAACCTACTTCCCATGTCCCCCCGCCGTGATATTGGTCGTATATTTCTAAAAGCTGCGTAAGCCTCTCATCCAATACTGTGTACCCTGGGTACTGAAATAGCATCCCACTGAAATAGCTAAAGATTTAACAATCACTTCTCTTTGATGTAGAAGGCGTGAAAAAGAACGTAAAAGATCGTTTCCAAAACCATGAATGACACGGAAATTGATAAAGCGAATGGACGCAGATGCATGAATCTAACCCGGGCAAACTCTTTAAACACTGGCCATCCCTACCGTCCCTTTTGGAAAGTAAATCTATACCTTTGTTTGAGGTGATCAGTGGTTGATAAAATTTCTTTCTTGACATTTAAACCACCACAAACAGCTAATTGTCAACCAAGTTAATATTCATGCATACATGTCCATTCAATTTACGTGTCCTTTCAGTGTGCAGTCAAGGTTTTGGAAACAAAAGATTTTAGCAAATCACAGCATGTGAAAAACATCGATGAAGTGCTATTACATAGTGTTGTGTCTAATATAACAGGACAGACCCAAATATCTGCCCAACTTTAAGAACCCCTGCTGGTACGCAAAAGAGAATGGGAAGATTCGTCTCAAGTGCGTCCCATACTATCATATTCTTGGAGTGGCCAAATCGGGGACCACCGACCTCGCCTACCGCATAAGGGCCCATGAAGACGTCCTCGAGTGCAACGATTGTCTTAGGGGAAAGGAAACGTTCTACTGGTGCCGTAGAAGATATGGTAATGTCATTATATGAACACTACTGTGTACAGACAAGAAATGACTGGACAGACTTATTGACTTTCAGAGAGTAGTGGAGCATGCACACCAGTACCTGCGTCTTTGCAGTATATTTGTTGTGTTGTCAATGCAATAAGGGTCTCACTTACCATGACCCTATTTGTTAAAACTATAGCAAATAGTGAAAAAACCTTGCCAAACAGATGTATGCTCCAGGAAGGGTCTCCAACTGTATGTATTTACTGAAGAGTACTGAATAAGACTGTACTATACACATAGAAACAAGTATCGCAACGCCCCATGTCAGTATCAGTATGCTAACGTTGACCACAGCAAACGACCTAAGGGTTCGGTCAAAACTTATGGCTTGGGTGTGGTGGTGATTTTTATGGAGATGTACAAAATCAATGACCTACTCCCTAGTAAACGTGTACAAAATTGAACCCCCTTACCTCACCAGAGCAGAATGGGTGACAACCCCACCCACCCCACCCCTCATATAGTCCCTCACCATAAATTATGAAATTATCAAAACCTCAGAAATTATCAAAACCTCAGCTTAACATACTATCTCGGTAAATTGATCCAAGCACAATGTCAATGTCTGGTGTCCCCTTGCCCAGTGCAATAACATCTCTGACGTTGAGGTTGAGATTGAACTATTGCATTCCGTCCTTGATGAGGGTTTGACGGAGAAAATGGCATGTACACGATGTGACCATACATTTTCAACCATGAAGACGGGCCTTGTGTTCAGAGGAAGGTCATCGAAGTATGGTACAAAACCCGGTCTAGATTGTTAGTGATGTACCGTTTTGAGAGGCATCCCCACGTCATTAATGAATCCCCGCCCAGTGGTACTTGTTTCGCTGAGCACATAGGGCCAAACTCGAGCTCGGCCATCAGTCATGAACAAAAGAATTCGGCTTTTGTCGGATCACTGGACCCATTCCAAAATTCCAGTGACGTCCTGCTGCTTTGTTCTCCAAGAACAACAACGGACCCCTGATAGGCCATACGCTCCTCTATACCGGCTGATTTTACGCGATTTCGGACCGTTCTATTGGACAAACAACATGGAGGCCACTCGTTTTAAACACGGAAAGCATCTCGTGGTTCTGGGGAGTGTCGTATCCTTCCTGAACGCGACAGTTCTAAACGCCATTAGTTTGCTGACGTTAATCGGGGTCACCGGCTGATAGTCGATGCATGACAAGTAACATCTCTTGCAAGGGCGCTCAGCATTCCGCAGACTAATAACTGGCCTACTTTGAGAAGATGTCAGCTGAGTAGGACCCTTCTTTACTTATCAACAGTGAAATCGATTGATTTTCCAATTCATTAAGCTGTAAGAACAGTTTACTGAAACGTGATATATGCTGAATGATGTTATTTGATCGTGGTGCGTTCTTGTCTCAAATCAATGCATAGTGCACGCAAAGGATGAACATAATTATGCAGGCATAATTATAATACAAATGTCTATATCGGGGGTATACAGTCACAGGTGATGCGTTACTCTTTTAAATGTGAAATACGGCTGTTGTCGACAGTGTCAAAACGTCAGTGAGTGAGTGAGTTCAGTTTTACGCCGCGCTCAGCAATATTCCAGCTATATGGCGGCGGTATGTAAATAATCGAGTCTAGACCAGACAATCCAGTGATCAACAGCATGAGCATCGATCTGCGCAATTGGGAACCGATGACATGTGTCAACGAAATCGGCGAGCCTGGCCACCCGATCCAGTTAGTCGCCTCTTACGACAAGCATGGGTTACTGAAGATCAATATTCTAACCCGGACCTTTACGGATCTCAAAATGTCAGTAAAAATGTCAGTCAGAATTGTGTAGACACCAGTAAGCAGAGGAAAACAAGAAATTAGTCGTTGTATTGGAACCTACATGTTTATGAAGACAATATTTCTATGCATCAGAAACATGTTATTGTTTAATGATGAACCACTAGAGTGTGATTTATGAAACTCATTGATTTTCAATGACATTTTCACAGGTTATAATGTCAACATGGAAAGTATGACACAGTGCAACTTCATTTGCTTTCAAGAAAAGTTTGCTAAAGCGGCACAACAGATAGAAGAGACAACTACAGAAACAGGCTACCACAACATGATTACAGGTAGTAGACGTGATGAATATACATCGGATTCCTATAAATCATTGGACAATTTAAAATGTCGCCTAAATCAGGAATTTGTCAGAGAATACAAACTACGGTCTGAAAATAATGTATCCATGCAGGGAAAACCCCATTCCATCGATTTTTGGGGCTGGTTGGTTTTTGTTTAACTCCGCACTCACCAATATCCCAGTTGTATGGCGGCAGTCGAGTCTGGACCAGGCAATCCTGTGATCAACAACATTAGCATCGATATACGCAACTGGGATACGATGACATGTGTCAAGCAAGTCAGCGAGTCTGACCACCCAATCCCGTTAGTCTCCTCTTACAAAAAGCATGGGTTACTCAAGACCAATTCTAACCCGGATCTTCCCACCCATAATTTCCCTGGATCTGTTGCCGTCAGTAGTGAAGCTTCGAGTTAGAATTGGTCTTCATCAACCCATGCTTGTCGCTGGGCTTATTGAAGAATGTAGCTGATCTGATGGATAGATACATGGATGGGTGGATGGATTTGAGTGAGTGTGCGTGTGGCGCGTACATGCATCTAATGTTCACTTGGTTGAAGTCACTTCAGCTTCGTAAGACTCTCAAAATCTACATGGAAACGTCGCTATGAACAAGAATTTGTTATTGATAAAGTTGTATGATTTTTAACTGAAATACTCATTTGAGCGTCGTTAAAGTATACTCATTAATACAAGACAAATCTTATGGATAACAACTTCTTGATTTATTTTTCACAACATTTCTGGGCTAGTTCTACATCCACCTGAAGAAGGGGCAAGAACTAGCCCAGAAACGTTGTGAAAAATAAATCAAGAAGTTGTTATCCATAAGATTTGTCTTGTATTACTACACCAACTTCTCAATGCCTTTAAAGAATTTCAGCATTCTCATTCACTCACTGTCTCATTTGTCTAGGGGACGCAACTCCGTCAGATTTTTCCGATTTCCGAGGTTGGCCAAAAATACCCCAAAATGCAGGATTTGAGAAACCGGTGATTATGACACCCCATCTTATGAGACACGTGTATACAGATCCAAAGTTCATCCTCATCCTAAGAAATCCAACTGACAGGTGGGTACTTGTTTTGTGTTACAAACATTTTGGTGTTTTTTTCTGCAACGATCGTACACATGGTAAATGAATTAATGAATAATGGTCACTAATATGTCACTGTTAATTATATAAGATAGAAGAAGGAGCATCTGTCATTTTACTTGAGCTAGTAGATATTTGCCAAATCTTACATGGTTAGACCATTACGTTCTTAGGGATGGAGGTTAGAGACAAACTCCAGAATGCCTATATAAAGAACAAACTTTGGGCGGAATACAAATGTAGACTTGGGAGTTCAGAGTTGAAGGCTCGTAACCAAATAAAGCCACAAATACTTATGCTGTGAATGTCCTCTCATATTTTGTTGGTCCTTATTGGACAAAAACAAGAAATTCAGAGCAGTGAGATCCTCATACGAAGTATCGTGTTAGAAATAGAGCCCACCGCCTTCGCTCTTCCCTAAATTGTGTCCCTGTTTGTGGTTTGATTAACGTGTTTAGGGATTATAATCACTGGACCGTACTAACCCTTACCACAATGAGGATGAAGGCTGTAGTCTGTATTAGAAATGCAAGTATGCCAGCAAATAAGGAGAAACGGTAAAGTTTATTTCTTATTTTCAACACCAGCAAATACAATAAATACACGAATAAGAATCATTTGACAAAGATGGTGACATTTTAACTTTACTAATATTGCATGTAACATCAACAAATGCACGAATATGAATTGTCTGACAAATATGGTGAAATCTAAAATTGTATTGCGAGTAGCATCAACAAATACATAGACATGCGTTAAATGTCAGATGTCAGATGATTTCACTCTAAACGTATCACCATTGAATACTAAACTCATGTCATATTTGATTACTTTTAATAACTGAGTCCACTAATCATTATGAACTGTGTTCAGTGTGGTCATTGAGTGAACTTGGTGGTGAGAATACACCCATTAAAGGTGGCGATTATCTAGGGCTCAGCATATATTATGCTAACTTTCTATGAGTTTAGATGTAGTAGAATGACTAGCAGTAAAACTGGACTGGAATTTACTTAAAATGCTATGTTCATGGAAATGGTTGTGCAAATGCTTCAACATTATTCCCTCAAGCATCTTCCCAAGGACAGATAATATGCTAATAGTTCTGGGGTGGGGTGGGGTGGGGCTTTGGTTGAAAAAAAATAATATGAAAATAGGAGTAACATTTCGAGTTTTTACAGATACTTAGTGACATGTTATACAACAAAGAAAAGGGGTTCTGCAAAATGTTAGTAAAAACATGCTTGAAGCAAAAGATGTATTGCATTAAGAAAATAAAGAAAAATGGTGGCTAAAAATGTTAACATGTTCATAAATAGGTACAGACTATTGCCCTTGAACAAAGGCTCACGCTCCAGTGGCTAATGCTGATTACCGGGCTCGCATCTCTCACCTAGGTATAGTGCAATGTTGTCTTAACAATACCTTTTTTGGGTAGACTCTGGCTAAGTAAGAGTGAACCCGTCAGACACAATGTCTCAAGCAACATGATTACCTACTTCGCCATGCTTGTGGGTTTGAGGTCCATCCGTGGAATATGTCACACTTATATACATAGTATTTATCAAGTCAATTTCATAAGAAATAGCTTCAGCTGGAACCTCAGCATCACGTCAAAAAGTAGATACTTCATAATATACTGACCACTCATTTCCGTCATCTCGTTATTTATTCACACGTGTATGCCATATGATTGCAGGTTATATTCTGACTACATTATGTTGGGTGGACGTTCAGCTGCAGATTTCCATAAGGCTGTGAGTGGAGATATTCGGATCGAGGAGAACTGTATGAAGAACCACACTGTGGAGCAATGTCTGTACAGCCTGGACATAGCACAAAGACTTCAGGTAAGATATGTCTTTTGACTAGTGCCAACGTCAGAAATATAACGCAATTGAAACATCACTTCTAGAAATTATTAATGAAAGTTTTCCCACTGAAATGTCAAAGGATCTGTTTAAACCTAAAGTATCTCGTAGTTTTACATTAGTATTTATCCAAATGTAATATTAAAGGTGAAAAACATGGTCAATGACACAATTGTTACTAAATTAAATGCAACTTAGCCAACGACCTTGGTACGTAAATGGACGTGAATTTCCTTGTACATATTTTATGAAAGGCACCTTAACACATGGATCAATCATTCTTGTCTGGATAGCAACTCCATGCCAAATTGATCTTGGAATTTGGAAAACCAGGCCTAAGAAAGAACGCATGCTGGCCAGTCTGCTTAAGTACTTGGTAATGATTTTACTGTCATCCATCGAAATATGGTACAAAACCCTCTACAGGCCACCAACAGCATCAGTGGTAGACCTAGGGTAATGAAGTGAATGAGTGAGTTAAGATTTTAAGTCACATCGGCAATATTTCAGCCATATCGTGACTAATTTCATAATAAATACAGGTAAATAATAAAACCCTGTCAACAAAGGCCATTAAAATAACTAGATCACTTTATCATAGATTTCAATTTATAACTAGTAATGAACTCTACAACATTTTAACTAGATATGACAATGCAATATAAAAAATACTTTAACCCCCTTTGAGGATACAGCCCCTAGGGTAATGAAGAAACATTTCACCAGGTGCAACAAAAAGTGCACAATATATAGTTGGAAGCCACCAGAGACGCATCAGTACTGATACGGTGGATTGACGTTTGGCCAGCACGACTGTCTGCTGTCTAAAACGGTAGGGAGGCCCCGTTCTCACAGATCGTTACTATCAAGACGGTGGGGTATCCGTGAAGATTTGGGGTAGAATTGGTCATGCAAATCATTGCTCATTACGAGAATAAGTGAATTGTCTTATCCAAAATTGATTTTTTTGTAGACCATCGTCATATATCTGGAATACTGCTGATCCCAGAGTTAAAAAAACATATAAAAGAGAAGAAACTAATGCAACATTTGGACATTAAACATTAAAACGGGCGTCATCAGCAGTGGGGAACCGTTCTTTTACTGTATCTCCATTACGGGCAACATAGTCAGAGTTTGGCATAGGCATGTGGAAGCTATTCAGATGAATGTGTGATGGTCCAAGTCCCAAGTTACGGGATGCTACAACTATCATGATGCTGGCCGGGGTCAACGAAGAGGCAATCGTGCCACCGTGGTGTAGTCGGCAGCCGAACCATGTAATCGACAACACTCACACTAGATTTCAACCCCAGAGAATACACGTGAGACGAGGTTCAAAGGAGACTAGGTGACGTACGGCTAAGGCCGACAACTGCGGACTGCGTTCATCAACCAACTAATTCTCTCCATTTACAGAAGATGCATGGCAGTAAAAGTCGCTAACACTGGTCACAGGAAATACTGACTTTGGACCCTCATGTTCCTATCTGTGTTTTAAACATATTTTATTCTAAAATGAAATGGATTGGGCACAAGTTATCCAACTTAGGAACGTCCTCTCCCAGAGGTGGCATATTTCATATTTACAATATAAAAACATTGACAACAGGGATTTGTTGAGTGAATTTACAAGATCTTTAAAGAGGATGTGCATGATATATACAAGAATAAAACTACAAAAATCTTTCAGTGAGCTTAATATATCTATGTACATGTTCAAATAATAATTCATGTTCATATAGTGATAGTGTAACATGACCAAATAAAAATAAATCTAGATTAATAGGTATGCGATGCTTAACGACATCATTTATATTTACAAACAAATCGTTACGCTGCTTTGTATACAAAGAACATTCTTAAAGATAATGCCATGCATTTTTACAAGGCCAGCCACAAGTACAAGAAGCATCTATGTATCTGTTGTGCTGATGTTCTTATTGACAACGATTAGTTTCATATTTTGACATGCAATCATACGTGTTAAGAGTCATGTTAATTATACTTCTGAACTTGTGTTCATCGTTTGGAATTTAAGACTCTTTCAATGGAATGGCGATTTTCTTTGTTCAGTTTATAAATTTACCAGTACAACCTTTGAAATGAATGTATGTTACCTCAGATAACAGCATGTACTTTTCTTTCACAGACACGTATTTTCTTAGGGTGTTATTCAGTGTTCATGCGAGAATGGCTGAAGGTTTTCCCCAGAGAGCAATTCCTTATATTGCGAACTGAGGACCATGATCAAGATCAAAAGGCTCAGCTAGCAAAAGTGTTCAACTATCTGAATCTGAGTGAGTTCCTTTTTGTTCCCGTTCCACAAATATATTTTTATCTTGTAACCCAGGGGAGCAGAGGTGGGAAGGAAAGGAAAACACAATCCTGATTTTATAGTCCAGAGACATCAACATTCTGGATCAACTCATTTACTATTATACACACATTCCCATTTGAGGACAACTCATTCAAAGCGACATTGTATTTCAGATTATACCGAAGAGTCGATGACTTCCATTGCTAACGTGCCTCATAAACGGGTCAGTAAGAAGAAGATACTTAAGGGACATATGCTAGAAAAGACCCGTGCCTTGCTGGACAATTTTTACAGCAGATACAAGAAGGATTTGGCAGATATACTACAGGACAAGAGATTTCTGTGGTTGACATAGCTTATATGTGGTTATTATATCCTAAACAATGAAGATCATATGAATATACATTCCAAAGATATATGTGTAACATATTGTATCATATAGGTGAAATAAACACTTTCACCGATACAATTTAGAATATCTAATCTTTTATGACTCTCTTCAAAATCTGTATTGTTACAAACCACTGAAACCACAGTTGAGACCCACCCTGCTCCTGTTTCTTCTAGATCTGGGTCTACCCCTAAATGTGTTTGTACATGCCACTGACAAGTGTCAGATTTAAATCAGTGTGTATGAAATCCACCTGTTTCAGCTCAACTATTCTGCTGAGTTTGTATTTTTTTTAAAGTAAGAAGTATAAATTTAATCAGTGTTTAAAATGTGGGGTCCCAGCTGAGAAATATCGAAAGGGAATTGAGACAACCATCGCCATAAAGATCGAAATTTACAAGCTTGCAAATGTCTTGTAAAGATGAGATTAACAAAATATAGATAGAGATAACTGGTATGGAATTGTATATGATTGTTTTAAAGCATTTTAACGGTTTTCGTTTTTCTGATCTGCTGTTTTACCGAAGAGCAACATTTTTTTTTATGGAAAGACAAGTTATTATTGCAATAGACGAGACGTTTTTGTGTATATGTTAACACCGTTATGGACCGTTCATAATTTATGGTTAGAGGGGATGATAATGATTTTCATGGAGATGCATGTGAATGACCCCCTAAACTTTATGTACAAAGTAAATTGATTACCCCCACCCACATGCTTCCCCAGAACAAAATGGGTGACCCCTTTAAAATCATAATCCCCCCCAATCCATAAATTGTGAGGCAAATGATGCGCATCATCATCATCATCATCATCATCATCCTTGGGGATTTCATGTCAGCTTGAACAGGCATTACATTAATATGTACTAGTCGGTTTGGGTCAAAATGATACCGATGAATCACAATCTAACCCCAAATCGGTTCATGATCAACATTCATTTCAATGCAGAATGTAATGAAAACGTCAGACCAACTCAGGACAAACGATTGTCTCCAACATAAAAAACCCCATTTACTTAACAAACATAATTTGTTTTGATTTTCCGTGGGAAGTTTTACGAGGGTAAAGTAGCAGTAGTGCTGTTGCAGGAACACCCTCAAGGGCTGGAAACACATGCAGCTTAGGATGTCAACATTTAGGGGTTGTATGAAAACTCTCCCCGGACTGGAATCAGAGGAAGTTCCTGATTCACTTTCACTCCTGTTCGATTGTACACTTATGATGGTTGGTTGAATGGTGGCATAATCAAAACCACTTTTTATCCAGTACTGATTCTCTATTTCATTTTCAACTTTCTGTACACAGTTGTGCCAGATTGCTGGTGTTATTTTACTTAGGCTTTGTGTACTTCGTTTTGCATGTCCGAAATTTTGAACGTGGTATTGTTGCGACCCAGATTAGTTATATTGGATTGAAATCGTAATGATAAGGCGGTAAACGTAAAGTTTCATGGCTATGAGCTTTGAGATATTGATCCACCTTATAGAGTGGTGTTGTTTTGCTGCGCTTTCTTATGCAATACCAAACAGATGTACTGTTGCTTTTGATGGAAGCAGAATATCTTGTTTTTCTAGCCATTCTACCATATGACTTTTCTTGCTGTTGGATGTTTGAGCTTTTGCATCTCGATCATGCACGCTACAACATGGTCCATTGTCCATAACAAGTAAACATTTCTGAGGAAGTGCTGATACCAGCTGTTTTTCACCCAATTTAAGAAAACTTCCTCATTCATATCAGTGTGGTAATCTCTGTTGTCTTTGCATTTCGCCTTGAACACCTATGAACAATAAGGCAGAAACCCCACACTTTTACAACCTGCGTGTAATACGCTCACCATTACCCAATGGCAAAGGTTATGTTGTTACCAGTGATATTTGTGATTTGTGTGGCCAGGTATCCAGAGAAAGCTGATACTTTTCTTGATTGGGTTTAGTGTGTGTATTTGTTTGATGATATTGTGGATGATGTCGTTTAGAGATTTGGAGTGTATACATTGTATCTGTGTTATGACACAAAGTGAGCCTGAAATGATCAAGACGTGGGTGGCCTGTAGTGAATTTATGATTTAGATGGGTGGTTGTTTCCAGCTATATGGCGGCGTTCTGTAAATAATGAAGTCTGGACCAGACTTCCAGTGATCAACATCATGAGCATCGATCTGCGCAATTGGGGTAGGATGACATTTGTCAATCATGGGTTGCTGCAGACCTATTCTAACCGGATCTTCACGGCTCTTGCAATGAATGATTAGAAAACTCGCCCTTAATCCCGCGGCTCCACAGAGTTTTCCCATGGTCCATCCCGGTCTCTGGTACTAAAGGTTCATTTTAGTACACATGGCTTACAATATTATTTTATTTTAAAAGTACCAGATATAAACTATGGTTCACCCTCGTATTTTAAACAGCTTTCAGTCTTTTGAGTGAGCCATCGAGCGAGTAAGTTGGATTTAACGTCACTTAATGGGGGAAACGCCCGAAGTGATGCAGGCCTTTCACTTCGTGGCCCCCACGAGCACGATTAAGTTGCTGAGAAACTCAGAACCATAAACGCGGCGATCCAGGATTCGAACCCACGATGATTGGTTTCTTGCGTGCCCAACTCTGCAGCACATCGCACCGCCTTAAACGAATGGGCCACCCGTGACCCTTTTGTTTAGAAGAAGGGTTGCAAATGACAAATATAATATTATATTTAATCTTCTAGAATAAATTACGAATCCATAATTTGAAAAGATATTTTTAAAGTCAGCACATTACAACAAACACAAAGTGTTTGACTTCGGCTAATGTAATAGTTATCTGAGTGACATGTACTTCTCGAGAAGTCGAACTGAACACCTGAGAGTGTTTTCTATATTTTGGTCGCTCTGTGACTTCCTAGGGATATTCTTGTGCTTTAATCCACCGTTGCAGGTCTTAGTTACACCTTCTAAATACCTCAATGTTTGGCACCATTCTTCATAACGATTTCAAAATTACCATATTCACCAACCGATAAATCATGGTGCTCAGCACCTCCCCTTAAACAGAAACAGATGCTATTTAGATAGAATACTGTGTCTAGCAATTTTTGCTGTGTGTCTGCTCCTGGCCATGGGATCCAAACTGCCCGTAGCATTTCCTCCTGGCTACGTGTCAACACATCAGTTATTTGCTTCTGAATCCAAATGACTCTTCTTACAAGGCCTTTCATGTTTGCGTCCAAAATTCCGCGAACAGCAGCAAATTCATAATCACTAAAAATGTTGATGTCTTTGCCGTTTTCTCTTAGGAAGTACTGAATGGCGCTGGAAATTCCATCGATGGTAGTCCCGAGATACTTCTCCCCTTAACAACTCTTTACTTCCGTTGTAAAGGATGTCGACATAAATCGGCATCACTGAGATTCAGGAGACACTGTCCCACCTTCCCTTTCCAAATACCATGCATCAAAAACCAAAATAGTCCAATGACTTTTCTTTTCCCTATGTTTGTTTTAGCCAATCTTTCTTAATTGGAGATTTCCTCACCAGTTGGAGGTTTGCCGAATCGGGACTAAGATTCTTTATTTAAGACCTTTTTAGGAACTTGTTCTCGCGCGTGTTCAAAAGTTTGTGAAGCAAGTAATATTTCTTCATTAGAAGAATTATTTTGGTCCAAGACATCGTCCACTGACAAAACAAACTGCGTGTTAGAAATGCCCCTTCCAAGAATATGTTCAAAGTCTGAATTAATGTCACTTTCGTAAATGCATCTTTCAAAAACGTACTTTGCGTCAAAAATACATTATGATCACTCTTTGCTATCTTCGTACTTTCTCCATGCAATCACTCGTGCGTATTGATGAAAAGCATGGTTTGTGAATTTTACATAGTGTCAATGGAAACTTGCACGTCAACAGTTCGAAGCGTGCAGCAATATGCACGTACGTTTATACTGGAACCAGTTACGATATTCGGAATGGCGAAATCGGTTATGAAATTATGTTTAAGTAGACTGGACTCCTCAGACACGTCAATAGTTGGCCACGAAGTTACGTTAAACTGCTGGATTAGCAGACGGGTAACTGCACTGGCAGTGATATCTATATTGTAATCACTTGAAAGTATTGAAATCGTTTCTGTTGAGCTGTTGGTTGGTTCTCCATGTCGCGGTGTGATCATTGCTCCAGAATTCATCTTCAGTAACCCATGCAAGAAGCGACTAACGGGAACGGGTGGTCAGGCTCGCTGACTTGGTTGACGCATGTCATAGAATCTCAATTAGTAGATCGATGCTCATGCTGTTGATCACAGGATAGTCTGGTCCAGGATAGTCTGGTCGATTATTTTCAGTTCGGAATATTGCTGAGGGTTATATAACAAACCAATCAAATCATTTGGAAAGCGGGCTTAGTACTTGGGATTATTTCCCTTGAAAACGGGATTGTTTCTGTTTTTGTGGATTTAAATGAACCTGCAAAGTATCTGCACATTTCGAAAACATTTACAGATCATTATTCACAACAGTGGCCGTGTGAATCGGATCATCTTAAGTTAAACAAAGAATGTATAATAGGCAGTATATTGCTTGCGATCCCCTCTATGATGGCATTGATATAAACTTAAACAGGAGTCGTCTTAACACTGATCCCTGGGGCACGCCTGTACGTACTAGGTCTAGGTCAGATAGGGAACCTTACTATCCCCTGTTTACGGTTTTGTAGGTAATTGTTAAATCATTTCAGTAGATTTCCGTTTATATCATACGACTAAGTTTAACTAAAATTCCCTTATGTGATACTTTTTTTTTTTTTAATTTTTTTTTTTATTCATTCAAAATCAGTAGATACATGTATACAAAGCACATGATGCAACAACACTTGTACACCGTAGGAGAGAAATTCATATGGGTTGGCATTACACATATTGGGATCTTCATTAGGCTGGGAATGTGTGCAGTAGAGATGACCATTTTCTGTCAAATTGTAATATGTTTTGATTCTTACTGGCAATAAACTTTTCTGTCTTGAAGATATCACTCAATATTTTTACAAATGTATCCAGTGATAATTTATTTTTTTTAATACTTGATATATGGATATATTT